ACTGCAGTTCTTAAGAAACATACTGAGTGAGAAGGGAATGTAAGGAGGGTGAGATGGTGGGAAGGGGAGAAAGGAATGGCTGAGGGGGAGGGGAAGTCGAAGAGGGGATTGTTGGAAGGGAGAAATGAAAGTTGGAGGGGTAGAAGGAAGGGTATATGTAGGATAGAAGTGTTATGAGTTGTTTATTGCTTCTTTTTTTTTAACTGCACAGTATTTAAGTGATTGTATAAAGGAAAATGAAAATGTAATAAAAGAATCTTTGATTGATTGATTGAGAAAGGTAAGGGGAAACATAGTAATGCTCTTTAGATACATAAAATTGGACAAAGACATCTTTTTAAACAAACCTTAAAGGCTGAATCTAATCGGTTATTTAAAAAAAGGTAAATTAAACATTAGCACCAGCTTCTTACTGATAACAACAGTAAATTCTGGTTGGAGATATGCAGAGTTCCTGCATATAACCCTCACTAAACTCCGAGTATCCCATTGGCCAGCTTAATCAGCTGAAGTTGCTTCAACCATATTTGAATGTTGCAGGTTGCATCTCTTTGAATTGGATTTGGATTTTCCTGCTTAGGTAAAGGATTGATCTTGATGGCCTATTGTGTGGTTTGTAACTGCCTTATTTAGGATTCTATGCACTGATTGCAAAGAGTTCTCCATACGAATGGAGTTTTCTTTTGGAACTAATACTTACGACAGAAATTGTCTGTTCGCCATTCAAGTGGTTGTCCACCAGCATGAGAGCATTGCCTGGAGTACTCAGCAAAGGTGTTACAGATGCAGACTTCAGTCACAGACTGATCACATTGGCATAAGTCTTGTATGCAAGCATCAATGTAGTCACGCACATCAACCAATGCATTGCAAGCTTCAAATGCATTACCAGTCAGTATATTTTGGCACAGAGTGGTCTAGAAAAAAGAATTTAGCGCTGCTAAGATATAAACATGACACTATATATAAACACAGGAAGCTATTACACTATTATTGATCTGCATTGCTAATATTTACAAGCTTGTTTTTTATTTTCAAGATTTTACTGTTTTAATTGTCTTCTAATGGCTCTTAAGAAAGAGAGAAGAAGAAAGGGGGGGGATACCCAAATTCCCATATAGAGAATGAAATGAAATACAAATCCTTACAGCCTCCTGGTTGCATTGGCCTCCAGGTAAAGGGACAGGATCTTCACATTGTTCTGTGGGTCCGTCCATCTTCTGCATGTTTCCAAACTGCAAAGGTGTCAGCTGGACATCTGTAATAAGCAGAAAGCCATATCTAGTGTTGCTCACAAAGCAGGATTAACCAAAAAAAACAACAACCCCTATCTGAACACAGGCTGCAATTTTACTATATTCCCATGGTGTGAAATAAATCTGGCAAAGGGGTCCAAGAATGATCATCAGTCTACATTGAGGCAGGACATAAAGTGAAACAAGGACATAAGAGTGAGACAAGACATGAAATATAGAGAAGGAATAATTTTTAAGTCTTGTAGACAAATAGGAAGACTAAGTGTCAAGCCTCGAAACTCACACCTGCTGTATTTTTAGTTAAAATTCAGTCAACCCCAAATGCTTTACTGGAAACATAGATGCGTCTTTGCAAGTCAACTGTGACCTCAATGTACAAGAGAGGAAACAAGTTGTTTATCTGCTTCTTGCATAGCAACAGTAGCCTATAGATTATTTGACCAATTAACGCAGTCATAGTACATTTCTGTGTTTGGCTACTTTTGAGGAACTTATAAGAGCATGCTTCTCCACAAGAAGGTTGTTCAGATGTATAGATGTTTGCTTTGGCTAACTTGCTCTGAACCTTGGTACCAAATATAAAGCTACTTCTTTTGATCCGAAGTCCGAGTCCCTTAATTTCTGCAACAGCATGATATGAAACCAAACTGATTCTTGGCAAGATGATGAGGTTAATTAGGCCAATCTCTTCTTCCCATTATGAATAGTTAAAGTCCACTCACTGAGCAGTGGTGTTTCAGGAACTAAAAGTCAAGATGGTAGCAGTAACCATATGTCTGAAGCATTACCTTTTTGATTGCCATCTTGACTTGTTTTTATAAGCCTTCCTCTTCACAGACCACCCTGCTAATGAGGCCTCTTGAATTCACTTCTATGAAGCATCCATCTTTACCATATGCCTATGCACTAATTCTCTTCCAAGTTGTCATTACAGGTTGTCCTTGTTTAGTAGCAACAGTTAGGATTCAATCATTAAGCGAAGTAAAACCTGGTCAGGTTGATCTTATTCCAGCTTTCTTTTGCTTTACAAACTTGCCAAATTCATACATTTAATGACCCTTCATAATTATGATTGTGATGAAAAAGAACCTTTGCAGCCAGTTCTTGCATTTAGCTCAATATTTCTCATCCTCGGTGACTTTAAAACTTGTGGATTCCAATTCCCGGAATTCTCCACCAACATGAGGTACAGAAACACAGATTAATCTGAGCCATAGCTCCTTGCAAGAGAGACCCATTATTTCCCCTTGCTAGTTCTTCTCTGACCACATTAAATTTGGCAGCCCTCTTTCCAGACTGAAGTGAAAAACAGAAATCCAGATTTAAAAGATGCATGGAATTTCTACATCAGTACTGAAAAAGCAAAAGATAAAGAAACAAACCTAGGATCCTTTCATATTTGGAAGTGGTTATTTTAACAATCTTAATCCTTGTATAACATTATACAGTTGCATACTTTAAGGTTGTCAAACCAATTATATTTCAGTGGCATTTGTCAAAATAAATCCTATCCTACAAATGAATTGAAATGTGACCCCAAAAGCAATAAAAACAGAAATCTGCTATTTTTGCCACTTACTGTTGGAAATGAATTCATTGTAGATAGCGATTTGATTGAAATCCCCACAAAGGCCACAAGTTTGATTAGCATATTTTTCATTTAGTTCCAGCTAAAACAAGACAAAAAAATGTAACTATAGTGAAGATCTACAGTTTTAAGAATGAGAGTTAAGAACTAACAACAGGTTATATAGAACATTGGCAAACAGGTGTAGGGATGAGCATGTTTAGAGATTAAAATGAAGTTCATTTGGATTAGTGTTTAAGGTCTGATAGTGGAATTCTGTTTTCTTTCTTATTTTTGAATTCCCATTACATCCAATGTTTGCCTTTGGCTCTCATGTTAAATCATAGTGTTGTACAAAATAAATAGGCCATTGCTCCCTTTCCCTATGATACAATTAAAACTGAAGATAGAAAGGTTTTGTTCTGATGTCTCTTTGAGCAATATTTTGTATTTAATATTAATTATGACTTATTTTAGCAAGCCTATTTCATAAGCCATTAATATTTTGGTTACCATTAAGCTTCTTCAATTTATTAATAAAATTGATTAAAATTAATTAAATATACTACCCATCTCACCTGAGTGACTCTGGGTAGTTTACAACTAAAATTCATATAGCCATAGAAAAAGAAACATGATTAAAAACAAAGGTAAAATAACAGTATTAAAATAAAGGTAAAATGGTACTAAAAGATGGAGGGAAATTCAACCATCCTGATGGTTGCATGCCAATCTTGAACCACATGCCAGGAATCACAACATATCTCCCCTACCTAACCAGGTGGGTTGGGTCAAAGTAATTGAGACAAGATGGTACTGTTCTGTGAAGGGACTTAAAAGTGATAACCAATATCTTGAACTGGACTCAGAAACAAACAGGCAGCTCACATAACAGAGATGTTACAGGCACAACTCCTAGAGACAGCCAGAACTGCACATGCCACCCAGAGGTGGGTTTCTGCTGGTTTGCCCCAGATCGGGTGAACCTGTAGTGGCAGCAGCAGGAGGCTGCACCACCCACCGGGACACTTCTGCACATGCACAGAAGCATCTCATGAGTGCACAAGTGTGCGCATGCGCACGAGCAAACCAATAGTAAAATAAATTGAAACCCACCACTGATGCCACCACATTCTTCTGAACACTTCTGAACACTTTTCAAGGGTAGCCATATGTAGAGCACATTGCAGTGCAGGAGATTACCAGGGTATGAGTGACAGAAATAAGAGCTTCTCAGTTAGGGAAAGGATGCAACTGGTACATAACTCAAAGTTGAGCAAAGGCCTCTTTGCCATGATTGCCACCTACTCCTCAAGCAGGAATCTTAAGTCTTAAATCTTAAGTCCAGGAAGAACCTCAGATTATGTACTAGATCCATTTATAATGAAATGAACCTTCCCAAACATTTCCTTGAAGTCATCCCAGAATAGAAGACAAAAGACAGTCCCCAATTTTGGTGTGCCTCATTAGTTGGGGCATAAATAAATGAAATGAGACTAAAGGTAGTCCTCTAGTTATAATGGCAGCTAAGTCCAACCTTTTGGTCATAATTCATTGCAGTCATTACTAAGCCATCCACATGACCATCTTGCTCAAATGGCCGCAATCCAAGATCTAACTGTTGCAATTGTTAAGCAACTGTGCATGCCATTAAATGACTGCATGGGGGTGCCTCAGGGAGTGAAAAACCACCCTCTGCCCCACCACACCTATTGTGGTGCTCCATCCTTCATGGATGTCTTTTTGTCACCTCATTCCATCCTTTGTGCAGGGCCCTTTCTTGTGATGATTTGGAAAGCTCTTCACTAAATTATCTGATTTGAAGAAGGAGACTTTCTGAATCATCATGAGAACAATGGCATTTGCTAGTATTTTCTCCTCCTGAGAGGAGAAAGGTTCTGATATTCAACATTAGGAATAAAAAATCATTTGATTCTTTGTTTAAACATTAATGAGGTTGCTGAGCTCTGCTGTATGTTCTTCAGATTCCATTCTAGTTATATAACCTCTGTGCCCATTTAAAAAAAAATAAAGATAGAGGAGAAAAACACACTTGTTTCCAAATTAGGAAAAGGTTTGGTGGTGACAACAAAACCAGTAAATTGGTTACAGAGCCCCTTGAGTTAATGGATTATTCTTTAATTCTGAAAGAAATAAAAAGTAAAAACTACCACAACAAAGAATGTGCAACACTGCCACAATAATTAGTACTCTCCTTACACTTCATTAAAAGACAGACTTATTTAAACACTGAACCATTAAGATTCCTAGTTTTGGGCTGCAAAATGTGACTTATCACTAAATGACAGTAGTGAGATATAGAAAACTTTTCCATTTTTTCCTTCCAAGTGATCATCCAAATATTTGAAACTTAGATCTAATAGTCCTAGCCTCACAGTTATACTTTCATTATCTAATGATTGCACAATTATTCATTGTGCAAGCAAAGATATTTTCAAGAACAGGCATGCAATTAAGAACATTGAGTAAATAAGGAAGCAATCCATATGTATAGATCACTTATATTGTACTAGATTTAGATTCAATCAAATCAAAGAGTATCAAAGCCAATTGCAAAAATCGGTACTTTTTGAGAAACATTTGGGAAGATACAACTGTTTGTGGAGGCAACTCCTAAACAGCATATACATTTAATAACTTACTATTCTTATCCATCATGTCAATAATGTTTGATTGCAAAATAGCATCCATGGGTGCTTTTTGGGGTCTATAATTTTCTATATGTTGATGATAGACAGACAGACAGATAGACAAGGTGTGTGTGTGTGTGTATGGATGGATGGACGGACGGACGGACGGAGAAACAGAAAGACAGACATAATGTATGTGTGTAAGCAAAGATCCACAAGTCATTTCCAAAACCATAGTAGGAATTCCTTGCCATATCTAGAATAGGTTCTTACCAAAAGGCTATCCATTTGATTCCACATCATGGTGACTCCTAATTTCCCATGGACCTTAAGATAACCCGAGATTCTCTCCATCATAATTCCTAAGTGGCTGTAAGGCAGCTGAACCCTGGAAACAAAGCACATTACAATTGAAAGTGATAGAAATTCGCTTACAGGAAATATCTCATTTACAAATGTTAAACTGAAATATGAACAATATATGAAATGACATTCCTCCTCTTTGCCCTGGTGCGACTGGAATTTATGGCTTTGAAATAACAAAAATATATTTGTTTAAATAATGAAACTTACGGTTCTCCGTTGACAGTAATGGAACTTGGGGTCAGTTCAACAGCTACTCCATCAAGTTTTAAAACCACATGGCTTATAACAGTAACATTCTCAACCACCAAGTGTCTAATTTGCACATTGAAGTCTTCATAAGAGGATTTGCAGTGGGATGCAAAGACATAATTGCAGAGTCCAGGAAACTGATAGATATCTCCATCAAAGGTCTTGAAGTGGAAATTGCCCCAAGTGCTACACACTCTATGATTATGAGCTGAGTTTCCAGCTGTGGATTTAAAATAATATGTAAAACTTTTTGTTCAAGACTATCCTCTTTAGCCACCTACTTAGTCAATCCACACCCTTATCCAACCATTTATTTTCTCATCCACTCCTCTAAGATGTTTTTTTCCACCCCTTCAATCATAACCAATTACTTGAGACTGCCTAGACAAATAATTGTTTTCTTGGAAAGCTTTTTTTTTAAGTGGTTTGCCATTGCCTTCTTCCTAGGGCTGACAAAAAATGACTGGCTCAAGGCTTTGTTCCTAAGGTGGGATTAGAACTCATAGTCATATTTCTAGCCTGCTGCCTTAACCATTACACCAAATGGCTGCCTTCTCTAGAATACAATCATTCACATGAAGTATGGCAACATTTCAGTGTGATTATTCATTGTTATTTGCCATTGAGATCCCTTCCCTTCCACCCCTCTTTTTGATTGCTCTGTTCCTAATTAATGTTAAAGTCTTCTATTTTCACTCTGAAATCTCATTGCTGATGTGAACTCAACAATTCATATGGAGCGACTAATCTAAAAACTATTTTTAACAATATAATAATATTATCTTTGACCAACTTACTCTTGATAACCATTGTTGTTCTCAATGCAGGGATCATGCTCACAGGGCTTGAGGGAGCTAATGTGGTAAAATCTGAAACAAAAGAATTCTATTATAGAACAAACATTTTTGCAACGTCACAATGTATTTCTAAACCTCACTAATGATTACATTTTCTAGTGACATTTATCTCTCTAAATTCAGCATACAATTAGTTTATTTCTTTCTCTTATGATCATATTTATTTGTCATCTATCTTGCAGTTCAAGGCAACTCTAATATTTATAAATATTTATTTTGGCAGATCTTTCATTCTCAGATTAGCTGAGTAATTGGAATATTCTGAACTGGAATTCCAAATAATACAGTGCAATTCTTACAGTGCAGGTTAAAGGAATAATTTTTGTTTCTTCATCAAATTGAATTCCAGATCAGAGGTGGCATTCCACTGGTTCTCTCCCATTTGGGCGAATCAGTAGTGGCAGCTGCGGGAGGCTCCACCCACCCTCCCCAATGTAATGTGCGAGCGCTGTGCATGCACAGAAGGCGGTGCGCTTGTGCAGACGAGGCGTATTTGCTCATATTTGCAAACCAGTAGGGAAGGTAAGTGAATCCTACCACTGGTCCAGATGGCTCCTACCTTTTGGAACATCATATCTCCCAAGGTGAGATCTGCACCCACCCTCCAGACCTTCCAGAAGGCCCTGAGAACCTGGTTCTGCAACCTGGCCTGGGCCCCATTAGGAATGTACCACTCCGAAGGTGGCTATAGATTAAGAGAGGACTCTAACTCTCCCTGAGGTACTTCATGCTTCCCTCCTCCCTTTTTTATTATTATTACTATTGTTGTTTACTGTTTATTATTTTAATGTTTACAAATTTTTAATGCTTGTAAGCCACCCAGAGTTG